AAGAATTTAATTGTCTAAGGTGCCACTTAATATTTTTATTACAAAAAAAATTACAGCAGGCAGCTTGCCCAAAAAGCAGCTTCATTCGATCATTAAGAAAAACCAGAAGTTGCGTCAAAACCAAGAGTAAACGTGGTGTTGTAGGAAGTGACCTGCTTTAGATCCTCACCAGTTCATACTACATTAACTTGTCCTCTCACTAGTTGACTTTGGAATATGTCAATGCTGGCTTTACTTCTTAGCAGAGATTTAAATTGTAGAAAATTTTCAAAGGCAGAGCTTCTATTGATAGCCAGTGGGAAAGGGATCATCTAATTCCATCCATGCTCCTAAAAACCACCCCTTTATCTTGTTAGTAGAGCACTTCAGTGAAACCACATGATTAAACTTAAAATGTGAACCTGTAATGATAGTAAAAGTAATTATTCTTCTTGTCCTTGCTACGGACGACACCATAGTACCTTCAGATATTAAGCTGCATCTGCAGGAAGGAGAATCTGAGAACCGTTTTCTTTTCCATGCTTTCTTTGAAAGCTGTTAATCCCCTTGTGCTGGAGGACTATGCAGAAGATATTTGGAAAGCAGCAGAGGAAGGGACGCTGTTAACAGAGAAAATGCAGACTCATGGAAGTTGTGTGGTATCACAGCAAGTGTTAAGGCTTTTTAAGTGGTAGCTTATGAGGCATGTTTTGGGTGTCACTTCCTTCCAATTAAGAAAAGAGCTGGTCTTTGGGAAAAAACTCTTAATTCCTGGATAAGTTGCATTGACTTGGGAGGAGAATGTAGGTGACTATAAATAAAAGGTTCAGATCTGCAGATGTTCAAGGAACTGGCATGGATGGCGGGCGTATTAGAAGAGGGAAGAAAATACCTTTTTTCCAGAAGTTTGAGGGGTTCTTAGGGTTTTTTCTTGTTGCTGTTTTGCTTGGGTTACTGGCGAATTAAGGATGGGAGGTAAATATAATCTGTAATCATTTTGTAGCATTTTTGGTCTCCCATCTTCCTTTCCTTTCTCAACAGAAAAAGGTGTGAAATGAGAAGGAGTGAAAGAAATAAGTTCAGAAAATGAGAGAAAATAATTTAAAGAAAAAAGTAATCAGCATAGAAATACTTTATTGAAGAAAAAGAGAGAAGTGAATAATATTTTTGTGGTTCAGCAAGTCACGTCTGGGGTCAGAATCAGAATCTTACTGAAAGATTTTGACCAGCTGCTCTCAGACTACCTTTTGTCAAAGGGTTGTCTGGAACAGTGCAATGAAGACTTACTAACTGAGCTTTTCTTTTTGCTAATGCGAGCTTAAACTAATCCAGCAAGTGGAGTACATCTTGTGATGTATTCTGCTGCTTTTTTATTGCTTTTTGAAAAAAATGTTCCGTTACTGACTAATAAGCAGAGAATAATTTTCAGTGGCTGTCCTAGTCTTTCCTGAGTGTTAGCAATCTTTTGGTAGCAATGGTGTTGAGAGGTACAGAAGGACAATACTTTAATTTGGGAAGGATGGTTCATTTACTCCTCTTTTTGCTTATCCCAGGAGCTGAAAGTCATGATTAGTGAAGTTAAAATTCAAGTGCAGGTCTCTGTAGAAGATAATTTTACAGCCTTTAGGAACTCCTCCTAAAAATACATAAAATGATGACTCTGTTAACAAAAGCATTTCATGAGGTTGACTCTGTTACCTAGATCTGTATTGCAGCCTGAAACCAAGGCAGAATTTGTCTCAGTTAGCTCGATCATCTTTAAACAGGGTTAATGGTTAAGTCACTTTGACAATAATAGAAGCCACCCACTGGGGAGCTAGTCAGATGAGTACAGGTGTTACAATAATCGTGTTAACATTTTTAGCATTGCTTGAGGAAGGAATAACCTGTTTTAAGTAATTTTTTTACGTTAGGAAGTTGGCTGCAGATCACGTTAATGATGGCTGCTTTTATGACATCATTTGTTTCTGGTTTTTAGAAGGGGATAAATGAATGTCTCTGTGGCCTAGGCCTGCAGGTGATATGTAGGACTAGATAAAAGACTGGTCCCAGTGAAAGGAAATGCAGGTCTCTGTGACAGGCACTATTATGTCCAGCTGGAGCCAACATTAAGTGGGGCTCACATGGTTTAGCGTAGTTGGATTTTGCCTGTGTTAGTGTGTATAAATAACCTGCAATGTGGGCTGTGATCAGGTTAATTCACTGGGTATACAAAATTGAATTAGGGCTGGGGTGAAAGGCAGGCAAAAGGTTGCCTCATACTGATATGAATTTGTTTTGTAGGTTGATAGGTATGCAGCAGGCTAGTATAATAGAAATGGTTGCAGAGAAGGTCTATTCTTGTCTGTGCATGAATATTGTAGTTGGAATAGGAGATGGAGCAGGATGACTTGGGGAGATTTGAGGAGCTAGCAGAGTGCACGTCTGAATAGAACTGTTTTGGGACAACAGCCCAGTGGAACTTCTGCTGATGCTTTTTTCCCCTCCAGAAATTGTTCCCTGAGGGGCCTTTCTTAGAACATTTCTTCTGTTCTTTTAGATTGATCCATTCACATTAAAAGATGTGAATATATTTAAATTTCTGTGACTCATCTCTTGTAGTTCTGTGTTGGTAGCAGCAAGCACATCTGAAGTGTTTGACTGTGTATCCTGGAGATGTTTTGGGTGCTTGATATACTTTTCATGGAATTGAAGTTAAAGTGGAGTAGGTGCTGAACGTTTTAGGTAGATCCATCCCTGGCAACTACATTGTCATTAGAAAGCATAAGAACCACTTCAGTGCTTGTATGCCTCTCTCAGGGCAGTAGTGTAAGAAGGTGATTGTGTCAGTCTCAGTGAGTCAGCAGAGAAGGCTTTCTTACAGAGACATCATCAGAAGATGCTGCTTTTTGTATCCTACCTCTCTTTGCGTGTTGGGCAGTATTTTGATATATAAGAAACCTGTTTTCATTGTATCCTAATCTACCTAGAGGTAAAGCACTCAGGGTTTTTTGGGGGGTGCGGTGATGATGTTTTGTTTTGGGGGTGTTTTTCTTACAAACAGCCACAAAAACCCCAGCAAATGTCGATCACCAGTTCAACTTCTCTCTGTTTTGCATAGCATAGGGACACTGAGTGGTTTGTGGTGTCCGACTCTTGTTGAAATGATAAGGTGGCCGTTATGGTAAAATGTTCTTTTGCTCTTCCAATAGTTTACAGATATTTTTCCTCTTGCGGGAAAGAAATGGCGGTGTTTGACTATTTATTTGCATTTGTGTGGTTGGCTTTTTTGCTTGTTTGGATTTACTTACTTATTTGCCCTTTACACTGAAATGTGGCTTAACACTTTTGCGAACTTACATAGTAAAAATTCAGTGTAAACTGAAATATTACAAACTGCTAGGAGGATTGGGTGAATCCCCTAAAAAGATCTGTTTCCATGTTCTTTCACAGTCTTTGTGAGAATCAGAACTTAAATTCATGTTAATCTCTGCCCAGAAGGGTTTTATGGATTTATTGATGATACTGTCGTCCTATGGGGCAGTATGTGTCACAGATAAAGATTTCCAGTGTTGCACTGTGCTCTGTTCCTGTTGACTTGAGTGCAAGGCAATGGAATCCCACAGTCTGCATTGTCAAGGCATAACATTAGAAGACTACCGTCTCTTGCAATAAGGAAGAGTTGGAAGCAAGGCAGAGGTACAAAAATTGTGTGACTGAACACTAGAAAACAGGGATAGGAACAATAGCAACAGGTGTTACCTGCAAAGTGATCATCAGCTAAGGAGAAGGCTCATGGCAACAGACGCTGCTTGTGTAAGCACTGGTGTTATGCACGTTTGCTTGTATTCAAGGGCTGAGGAGGTGGTGGACTGCCTTCCTCTTCTAAGCTGGAGAACCCCATGAGTGCAACCTATTGTTATAAAGCTCATAAAGCAGAATAAGTTAATAGATTGATAAACGGGTTCATGTTATGACTTCACCCTCAGCAAAAGCTTCTTGGGAGCATGTAAAATACTTGCCCTAAATTGCCCTGGATAGTACTACTGCTTTTTTGAGTATCTCTTTGTTGTGTGAAAATGACCCCTTTGGCGTAACTGCATCGTAGAGCAAAGTACTACTCTTTATTCGTATGACTGGCAGATTTGGAGCCTCATAAATTTGTCTGTATCGTGACTGTGTGCAGTAACTCAAAATAATAGTCTTTTAATTTTACTGATTAAGAATATTGAATTGTCAAAATAAAACAGTAAAGTCCAAGCAATAGACTAGGCAGACCTGGATGTGACTTTAATGTCTTCTCATTCATGCTGCTATTGTACAAGATCATTCCTTTTTAGTGGTAACCAGTTCTTGAAATGTAGAAAGCAACACACTTTGTGTGTGCCCTTGAAGCTCAATCATCATGCTTTTCACTGTTGTGCAGACCAAACGGGGATCTATCGTTAATACCAGCACATATCACAAAATACATGCAGGGTCAGAACTAGAAGATTTTTTTTGAGTTTCCCAGTACATGGTATGTCAACATCTTCATTAAATTTAATTACTTGCAGCAGCAAATGCATTGAAAACTGCTAAGTGAAACACCCAATGCCCTGTTCCAGCTTTTTCTGAACTTTAGCCTTTGCCAGGGGAAAAGAACTTTGCCTCATCTAGAGACTGAAATATAAATACATCTGCTTGCTTTGCCAGAGCTAGGCTGGGCACAAAACTGCTTGACTAAGTCCTGTTTCTGGGACTGTTGTTTAAGAACTGTAAATCCGTTCCCATTTCAGTACACTTTTTCAAAGTGGATAATGCATAATCAGGATGTGTGTCTTCTATGTTGCTTGACAGATTAAATCCTGAGGGGTGCAGAGGGCCTTTATCAGGTTTGCTAAAGCAATTTCATATACTACCAGAGCGAGAGGAGAACAGTGGGAAGCAAGGAGCTTTTTCAACAAAATTCTCTCAGCTGGTGCCAGCGAGGCATTGTTACAGTGATCCACTCAGCCCTAGAGCCGCGTATCTCCC